AACTAAGCTTAGTAAACTCTTAACTTAATGTTAATGATTAGTAGTAGTAATAGCTGATATATGCAAGAAACTGTGAAAGGATTCTCAGGCAATGTTATTCCTATGAATTACAATTTTTGGAAAGTCTAGGTTTCATAGAATAAGGTTTTGTTATTAAAATATAAGTAAGCTGGGCTCGGTGGCTCAGCCTGTAATCCCGCGCTTTTGGGAAGCTGAGGTGAGTGGATTGCCTGAGCCCGTGGGTTCGAGACCAGCCTGGGCAGTGAGACCTCATCACTACAATAAATAAAAAAATCAGCCAGGCGTGGTAGCGCATGCTTGTAATTCCGGCTACTTGGAAGACTGAGGCGGAAGGATTGCCGGAGCCCAGCAGGTCGAGGCTGCGGTGGCCGGGAGCGGCCACTGCACTCCAGTCAGGGCAACAGAGTAAGACTCCAACTCAAAAAAATAAATAAATAAATAAAATAAAATATAAGTAATATCATTCTTACTAGGTTAAAATAGTTACCTAAGTCCAATTTATTTTTTCACTATTTTAATTTAATTGCATTTTAAAGATGTGGGGTACAGGTCAATATTAACTACACAACTAGGCTGTATGTAGGTAACATTTATTTATTTTATATTATTTATTTACTTATTTTTATTTTTTGAGTCAGAATCTCTCTCTGTCACCCAGACTTGAGTGCAGTGTCACGCTCACTGCTACCACAGCCCCGACCTGCTGGGGCTCAGGCAATCCTTCCACCTCAGTCTTTCAGGAACCACAGGTGTGCGCCACTGCGCCTGCCTAATTTTTTGTTGTTGTTGTTGAGTTAATGTAGTGATGAGGTCTCGCCATTTGCTCATGCTGGTCTCGAATTCCTGAGTTCAGGCAATCCTCTCATCTTTGCCTCCCAAAATGCTGGAATTACAGGCCTTGGCTGCCGCGCCCGGCAAAAGTTAACTATTTTAATTTCAAATATGTCTTTTTAAAAAAAAATTACCTAATGCATCTGGCCCTGTAGAATATAAACTTGTGTCAGTTTCTAGAAGCTCATTGCACAGCAAGGGTGATAAAACATGAGCAGATATAACTATGATATAATATATAGCATAATAAAGTGCAGAGAAAATGCTACTGGCATTAGACAACTGTGTCTGGCTAAAGATTTATTCATTCAGCAAATACATGAAGTGATATACATGCTGAGCATGGATCGAGGAACACACAAATGAGCAAAAAAAAAAACCATTGCTCTTCGATGCTTGTATTCTGAAGCTTGTATTCTAATGTAGAACTGGATAGCTTTCTTTACTCAGCTATTTAATATTATTGAAGGCATAATTTATGCCAAGCAGGCACTCAGGATTGAGGACAAAATGAAGATAAATGACACTGATCTCATGGAGAATGTTACATTTGAATTAAACTTGAAGGTCAAATAGAGAGTAGGGAGGACATTCTAGGGCTAAGTGAAATGTCTCAAAGGGACACAAGGATAAGGTAGAGTTTTCCAGAAAGAAAAAAAGTAGGATATGGAAATGTGACAAATCATATTAGGTTAGCCTCAAAGTCTATGGATTTTTGTTGATCTGTTTGCTTGTTTGGTGATGAAACATGACAGGAAAGTAGTGATTTAATAATAGCTATCTGAGGGCAATGTGTATGGAATGAGTTAATGTGGTAAAATGTTAAAATGGGAAGACTAGTTGAAAACTGTTGGAGTAGGCTTAATTGATATATAATAAGGTCTATCAAAAGGAAATGATTTTAAGATAGATTTGAAAGGTAGTTACAAATTTATATGTCAAAATTGTCTAGTAGTTTAAGTAATCAATGCCATTGGATTTGCCATCTTCTCAGATATAGAAAGAAAAACAGAGATTTCACTAATGTTATTCGAGTATTTCGTTTAAATTTATTAATTCTACAGAAGAATTCAGCTGATTCATACATGATGCTTGATTAAGAAATAACCACGATTAATTTTAAGACTCAATAGAAGTATCCTTTTAGTCAGGTTGGATAACAGTTTTCCACTGGTAATAGAAAAATCTTAAAGAACTGAGAACACTGCAATAGAAAAATTATAACGTTTTCTTCATTTTATCCTTTTTCTTGAAACTCATTAAATAGTAAAAGCTGGCATTGTGTCTATTACAACAGTGTCTTGCATTGCAAATAAGTCAAGCTAAGACCTGTGGGTTTTCTTTATATCATTTGTCATGAAAGCTCTCTAGAATACACACACACACACACACACACACACACACACACACACACACACACACACATATACATACGTACATATATAATAGATGTGTCTTGTTTTGCAACAAGTCACAAAAGGTATTTAAATGGGGGTTCAAGCTTCTTCATTTGCGGCAGTGATAGTGAAAAGATGAAAGCTCACTATGATACCACCCATAGGAGTGCTAATTCAGACTCCCAACCTCAGCTTCAATCAGAAAAATCACAAGATTTAGTTGCACTTATGTTCATTATCTGTGTGCTGCACATTGAAAATAATTGCTGAATCAATTAGCATCAGATCAGAGAGCATGAAATTAAGGACACAAATAAAGTGAGTTGCAACATGGTAAATTAAAACAAGTTGAAGACTTCCTAGGTTGAACATCAATAGCTATGTTTACAAAGGGGGGATATAGTTTCAATTCATATGGAATAAAAAGTAGAAACAAAGAAATATTGTAAGTATTTACATTTTGCTTTACATATATGTGTGTATATATATACACACATGTATATATATGCATCCTCATGATGAATAGTGACATCAGTCAGATTATTTGACTAGGAGACTGGAAATTTAAACTGTCTTCCCAACCACGGTACCATTTTTTAAACTGTAATTCTCAAAATCTCGATATGCTCATTTGTTGAATTTAACATTAGCTTCTAAAAATAAAGTTTTCAAATAGGTAGGTATAAAATGTATGCGGAATTTAACTTTATTAGCATAAAAGGTTGTCTTAGTATATCTCAATCAGAATCCATTCAAACAAAACAAGTTCTGTAATAAAGCAAGTGTCTGTTAATGTAGATGTATTTTCACATCACATCCTTATTTTAAATATTCCCATGAATTCATCAAACGATATAATTGTTGTAAAGCATTTTTATTTATTTTATCCCACTCAACAATATGCTTTTTTTCCTTATCTCATTCCTGTCTCTCTTTTATCTCTGCAACACCCCCCACCGTACTTTACCAATCTATTTTTTCAGGTAAGATCTCAGAATGCCTATTTTACTTCAGTGATGCCTTCTCTGGATTGCCATCAAGGGAATAATACTGTATGGCTATGTAAAGAACTTCAGACAGAAACATACATAAGTTTTGAAGAAACCCACATGTCTGCAGGTTATTTTACTCCTTTGCTATATTCCTCTATAAGCATCTTTACTAGAGATGTGTGTCTCTTTGAGGCACAGAGAAAGAAAATAACCCAAAAATACAAGCTGATTCAAATTTCACTCAATCATCAGGATTTTTTTTTTTTTTTTTTTTTTTTGGTGTGGTCTTCTTCTGGCACTCGTGATAGCTTTCTGCGTTCTCATCTATGAACTATTGTGATTGAATCATGAGTTAGGAATTAACCTGTTATTTCTAGGTAAAAGTAATTACCTTGTTAAGACTAGGAAGGTATTTTGTTGTATTTTGTCCTCTTCATTGTCAAAAGGTTTTGTTGTTGCTGTGATTTTGTTTTTGTTTTCACACAAAAGCTAACTGGCATAAATTCATTCCCAATGAATTGAAATCACTTATTAGGTTAGGAGCATTTGTTGAATACACATTGCTTGTATACACATTTGGCATATATAATTTAAAACTTGACTAATAAAAACTGAAAATGCTTAAAACAAAGGGAGTAGAGAATAACCTGTGCCAAAGTTTTTAGATGACTTTTGGTAATAATATATAGGGCAAGCCGGGCTCGGTGGCTCAGCCTGTAATCCCGCGCCTTTGAGAGGCTGAGGTGAGTGGATTGCCTGAGCCCGCGGGTTCGAGACCCGCCTGGGCAGCGAGACCTCATCTCTACAATAAATCAAAAAATCAGCTGGGCGTGGTAGCGCATGCCTGTAATTCCGGCTACTCAGAAGGCTGAGGCGGAAGGATCGCTGGAGCCCAGCAGGTCGAGGCTGCGGTGGCCGGGAGCGGCCACTGCACTCCAGTCTGGGCGACAGAGTGAGACTCCAACTCAAAAAAAAAAAAAAAATAATATATAGGGCATTATAGATAAAGGAAGAAATCAGAACACACAGGAATTATTTTTTTAAAAGAATGAACAAAAAGATAATGAAAACTTCAGTTATGTGCCGTGTACTTGACTGAAGGATTGAAAAATGACTCAAATTCCTTTTGTTGGTAGACTTAACACATGAACACATTTATAAGACACCTACAAACTTAAAAGAGATGTGATATTCTAAATATTTCTGAGTAAACACTAGATTGTTATAACAGTATGTAATAATAATAATAATTAGTTACAAGGAAATTTCCCTGTCTTCTGAAACTATTGCTTTCCCTAGAACTATTAAGATATCTTTAAAAATGAATAAAATAAATGCATCGAATTATGAAATAATACTTAAAAGGTGGCATTACTATGGTTATAGTAATCCTATTACACGTTAAACTTCAATGCCTCAATCAAAACTTTGAAGTTAATATTTCATTAGGATAAAAAGTGAAAGAGCCAGTAGAAAGAAAATGCTGATTCCTTTACTGCTTCTTTTATCTGAATACAGTTTTTCCTGGCACTGAATTCAAAGGAAATGGGTCAGTATATATGTTTTGAAAAATAATACATAAAAATTCAGGTTCATTGAAAATCTGCTTTGACAAAATTCTACTAATATACAGGACAAATATGAAGATTAGAGAAATTAATATATTACTATGTTTAGTTTCTCTTTAGCATAAAAATGAATAATAATCTAGAAAGATAGTCATCATATGCACACATGCATAATTTGACATGATACTTACTTTTGGTCACAACACCTTCCAAATGGATGATGTTAGGATGATCAAACTGTCCCATGATACTTGCTTCACCTAGGAAGTCTCTGCGTTGTTTTTCAGTATAACCTACTTTAAGGGTTTTGATAGCCACAGGTAATTCTCTTTTTCCTGGTAGTTTCAAACGTCCACTACAAACTTCACCAAATTCACCTTGTGATAAAGATGGAAAAAACATAAATGTATCTGAAATTATTGCTCTAATAATACTCGAATGCATTCCTAGAGTACCAAAAAAGAGTTGAAAAGGGGAGTTCAAAATTCATTATCAATGTTAGTAGAAATAAATGGTACACTGGAAAAAACCATCTGCAGATAAAAGACTTTGAGGGTTAGTAGCTTCATCTGTCTCACCTACACAAGTCTAAATGACAATGTTAGAAAGAAAAAAAATGAAAAGCAATTGATTGAAAGTCACTTTTTCCTCAATCTCTTTCTACTGTAGTAGTACTATTAATTAGAAAAGTAGAGAAGGTCATAGCTAGAAAAAATAAAAAAGAATTTAAAGGCAGAGATGTAAATACAGAATTATGAAAACACTTTTGAATACTAAAATTACTAAATGTACATGGATGTATATGTATACACACACACATACATATATATGTGTGTGTGTGTGTGTGTATACAGCAGTAAGTGGTGAAACAGTAGCTATTTGGAAATTGGTTTTGCTAGTTTTTTTTTTTTATTTCATAAACCAGATATTTGCTGGTTTAAGCATTAGCTATACAGAAGACTGCATTAAAAGGTGATTAACTATATACCAATTTGAATGCAAGCCAATTACAAAAGATTAAAAACATTGTGTGTTAAATAAGGACATTGCTATATTACATACTAAATTACAAACAAAAGTTAAAAGTCAGAGTTAAATACATACCTGCCCCAATAACTCTCTCAATGGTGATACATGAAGCTTCTATCTCCTTGGCAAATTCATGGACAGCTTGATTGGGATCCTCATAGGTATGTGGATCAATATAAGTTCTTACTCCTGGAAGTTTAACTGTAAAAATAAATGGGCATTAAGTTAGAAGTGGTTGTGTTGGATGAGCAAAATTATTAACTTTATTAATATGCTAGTATATCTTAAACCTCTGATTCCTCGAAGAAGCTGAGCTGCAGGATAAGCCCTCTCTAGAGTTACGAGATTCATTTCTACAGATGTATCACTTCTATAACTTTATTTTTTTAAGGTAGGTAGATAGATAGATAGATAGATAGATAGATAGATAGATAGATAGATAGACAGATAGAATGATTTGAGTTGGAACCTCACTCTGTCTCCCAGGCTGGAATACACTGGCATGCTCACAGTTACTGCAGTCTCGACCAGCTTGGCTCAGGCAATCCTTCAGCCTCAGCCTTCCAAGTAGCTGGAACTACAGGTGTGTGCCACCATGCCCAGTTATTTTTTCTTGATTTATTGTAGCGATGAAGTCTCGCCAAGTTGTCCAGGCTGTTCTCAAACTCGTTGGCTCAGGCAATCCTCTCACTTTGGCCTCCCAAAGTGCTGGGATTAGAGGTGTGAGTCCCCGCACCTGGCCTATTTTTATAACTTTAAACATCTAGATTGTTGGCATGCACCCAAAAATGCATGAATGATGACATATCCAAATACATACATATTTCAGTGACAATATTCAGAGAAACTCTGAGGCAAATTATAAGCATTTTGTTTATTAAGCTGGACAGTAAAATACTAGTGTTTTATTTGCTAGTTTGTTATTCTCTTTCATTTAGAAATATTGTCCCTGATTGTTCATTAAAATTTTGCAAAAAAAAAATTGAAAATGACCTTTCAGGTGGTATGATGCAGTAAGAATGATCCAGGAGTCAAAATGAAAAGTTTTACTTCTCACTCCACTTCTGTTACTGCTTGACATATACAAAACTCTCATGTCCTAGGAGTTTAAAGCTACCATGAACACTCTCATAGTGTTTTTTGAGATAAAAAATATTAAATAAGAGAGAACTTGAGATGGACTCAATGCTTTGTGGCACAAGTTACAGGTTTAATGATTTTAGCTTTTTCGATCATGGCAGAGTGACAACAACAAAAGAAACTCTTTGTGTCATTCATTCAGCAAATCAACTCACACTGTACTATTCATGGAAAAGTGAACATATTAAAAGGCCATAACTAGACCTCATTTGAGCTGATTTTTAAAGCTCTTTATTAAAACTTGATTTTATAAATTTTTAAAAAGCACAGTATTTTTCAAGTTATTTGAACCAAGGTTGCTGCTGCAGGAGGAAAAATATCTTAAAAATTATATTCATTTAAACTGGTGGTGCTATTTAATGATAGATTTCTACTCATTGTGTTGCTAGGAATTAGAATTATTAGCTTGGAAATTTGGTCCAAAATATATTTTTCGATGTTAAGCAAAAATTTTAATGACTATTATAAAAGTATACTTTGAAGAACTGAATAAACCATTCAACTGTTGTCTAGCACCAGCCAGCAACACTCAACTCACATTCTTTATAGGAATGTAACAGAACACATAATTTGTATAAAGCAATATTTTTGGTCAGTTATCTGAGTACTTTTACCTTGAGAAAAAACTAAAATAACAATAAAGTAGCCCCTATGTTGTTTTTTGTTTTTATTTTTCACAATTTGCTTACTGTGCCCATTATGAAAATGCATCTTTTCCTCTTCTGGGTCTTGCTTTGCTTTGCTGTAGCCACACCGCCTGGAACAAAGTGAGCGAGAATTAACCACATCTGAAAGTGGTGAATCAAATACATCAAGTCTAAAAGCACGAAACATGATTTATATTGTCACAACCCTAAACAGATTTTCATACTAGCAGTTTGGAGTAACACCAACACTCCTTTTTAATAAAACCTATTTCCCTACCCAGTATTCCTCACTCTCAGTAAATAATCTTGCCTAGATTACACTATACCTGAAGCCATCCAAACCGCTTGAACTTCCCCTCACCAAATGCCATGTACCAGACAATGTTCTGCTCTTTCCCATTTTTACTTTTTTTTTTTTGGTGCCAGCTCAGAGGTCACCTTCTTTCTCTAGATGAGTTGCCCCAAAGTGAAAATGATTGAATAGTCTCCCATCTTCAGCATCCTGCTCAATTGATTTTTGTTTTTCCTCTCTTCCATTTTGGAGTCTTTGGCTGGTCCATTTTTGACACACATCTACTCAGATCTTTATGAAATTCAACACAAACTCCAAAGCTTCTCAAGCACACTTTTCAAACTGCTATCGCGCCTCTTTTTCTCAACTTTCCACAAGTTTGCGAGTCCTTGCAAACTGCTCTTATTACTGACAAAAATCTGTCCTGAGATTCACAACTGCCATCTTAACTTCTAAACACAGTGACTTTATTTTAGTTTTTAATTATTCTTGATGGACTAAAATCTCTAATTTAATTATTCTTGATGGACTAAAATCCCTAACTACTTTTCTGATGCTCTTTGCTCCTTTATACATTCAGGTATGGAGATTTTCATAGGTTGTCCACATGGACTTCTGTGGTTCTCTCCTCTCAACCTATCAATTTCTAGCAGTTTAATTAACAACTCCACTACTCTGATTTAATTTGTTTTGAGAACTATTATTTCTGATTTCTTTTATAGGGATACTTCACTGACATTCAAACTGAGTGGACCTAAAAATGAAATCAGTGTATTTTTCCTTACTTCTTTTAACCATGATCTGCCTTCTTTTTCTGTTAATAACACCACCACTGCCCTTCGTTCCTTAAAAACAAAGCCTTATACTTGTGTCTTATACAAGAAATTGCCATATCTCAAGAATTATTCAATATGTATGTCTTACGATCCAGCTCTTCCTTTTCATAACTTCTATTATTTTCTCAATTAAGGCCTTGTTATTTTTCATCTGGATTACCCTAAGTGCCTTCAAAATGATGCCCCTCCACTCTATAACTCCATTCTTTCACTATTCTAGACATGGCTATAGCCAAATAACACTATGCAAGGTATTTGTATATTGCATTAGCTGGATATTGCGAAATCTTTTATAAAAGTAAGATAACAATTTCTAAATATAGCAGCAGCACACAATTCTTGCCTCAACTCCAATTGTTCATATTCAAATGTACTAAACTGTCTTCCAAAAATCTCTAAGATAATTTCTGCATGCTTCTATACATTTCACATATTGGTCCTTCATCAAGGATGTTCTTACTGATAATTTCCAACAAAATACAGTTCTATTTTTTGCTTTCTTTATATTTTCTCCCTGAAACTCTAACTTAATGTAATATTTTCCATTCTGAGCAAAACAGCTTTCTGTTCCCCCTTCATGATTTGATTCCCAATTTAAAATACAGCATGGTCTTTTGAGTATTTTTTTTTTCTTTCTTATTACTTCAGCTTCTTGAATGGCAGCAACTAGCGTTCGTTTAAAAATTTATGCAGTGACCTAGCTCCTGACTCAGAGTTGATACTAAAGAGATTTGTCACGCTGATGAATAAATGAATGAGTGAATGATGATTTGATTGTGTCTACACAATGACAGGTGTTTGGAGCAAGAATGTGATGATGAATACTGAGTTGATGATTAACCATACAACATTAAACAACCGGCTAAAATAAAAATATTTAAATTAGATTTAGTGAAACTCCAAGAAAGCGCTTTTACTATTCATAAGTTCCCACCACAACACTGAGTTTGTTAAAAACAAAGTTTCCATTTATTTCTGCATTAAGAAATTACAGACAAAATGATAGACTGACAAAATATTTTCATTACAAAGCTCTTTGAAAAATACTGTGTGAAGTAAATAAAGGATCTATTAAGCATGTACTAACAGAGACTGTTCTTTGGTTACATCTTCTAGGATACTTTTCAAATATTTGTATATTTTCATAAAAAATAGAAAATATTATCTTTTTCTACCAAGAAATTGCATATATATTACAAAAAATGGTCAGGACAACCTGTCTTTATGTCTTTTAAATTTTTTTTAATCATATGAAAGAACTGGTAATTTATTAGTAAAATACTGTGAGTAAATTTTGCATAAACTTTAAGTAATATACTTAATACATATAATATTCTTGGGTGAGGAAAAATGCACATCTGTAATCTGGTAACTTTTCAAATCTGATTCATAACACTTAGATGCATTTGTCATTCAAGGGGTCTCTAGGTATCTCAAATAACCTCATCCCAGTGAAATGGAGAGAATAAACAAATATAGGAAATCATACTGAAATTATGTTTGGTCTATTCAATCTAGGATTTAAACTGTTTTAATAAATTGTTCATGATTTTGCTAGAAATTGCATTATTCTTTCAATCTTTAATGCATGTGTCTCTAAGAGAGCAGTTATTAATGTTTATTTTGAACAATGTCCTAAGAACAATTTTGCAAAATTATCTTTAGATTTATGTTATTTAAATAATACTGACCCCAAAAAAAGTTTGTTAAAGGAATTCTACAGAGGCCTAAAAGCTGTAGATGTTCTTACAGTTTGCATTAGAAAACCAACATCCATTCAACCTTCAACCTTTCCACCTTCAAATAAATAAATAATAAATCTTCAAAAAAATTATGTCCTAAAATAGCCTTTATCATTAAATAAGTCTCATGGATATTTAAATTGCATGCAAATTCCTCATATGAAAATGGAAATAGAACTTTGGATTTCACACACACACACACACACACAAAAAAAAAGATTTGGTGAGGAGCAGTTAACATTTTATTATCTAGGGTGAGAGTCTGGAGGGCAGTAGAGAGTCCGGAGGACAGTAGAAAGGAGTCATTTTTGACAATGGGCATCTCTGGAGTCCTATTTACATATACGGCTGCATGTCATATGACCATATACAATTAAGTTCTGGAACCCCCCAAAGCATCATTAAAACAAGCTTCAACAAGATACAGCAAGTAAAGCAGCTGGCAAAGACTGGCACTCAGGCACTGGCTCAGCCTCACTGACAAAGTATAGCAGGAAGCCTGTTCATTCAGTGTCATGCTTTGTACCTGCTTCAGATGCATAATTTTAACCAATCAGACAAACAGTCAATAAATATGTCATTGTGTATGTAAATTATGCCTCCTACCTTCTGGGAATTATGTCTTTTTTTCTGAATGAAAAAGAAACAGGGTTTTTTTTTTTTCATTTTGCTTCATATAACAAAAATAATGAGCTCTGAAATGATTATACTAAAAATATCTGTGGTGTTTGTACTTAGAGGAATCATCTTCTAATCATTCATACTCATGTTCTTCTAGAAAACAATGTGGTTTTATTTTTAAAACCACATAATTTGGACATGAGAAATCATATGTAGGCATAAACCATATTCATTGATTAATACTTATTAAAAAGTCCTAGATAGACACTTGATATATAAATATAGCAATGACAGCTGGGCTCGGTGGCTCAGCCTGTAATCCCACGCCTTGGGGAGGCTGAGGTGAGTGGATTGCCTGAGCCCGCGGGTTCGAGACCTGCCTGGGCAGCGAGACCTCATCTCTACAATAAATCAAAAAATGAGCCGGGCGTGGTAGCGTGCGCTTGTAGTTCCAGCTACTTGGAAGGCTGAGGCGGAAGGATCGCCGGAGCCCAGCAGGTCGCGGCTGCGGTGACCGGGAGAGGTCACCGCACTCCAGTCTGGGCGAAGAGTGAGACTCCAACTCAAAAATAAATAAATATAGCAATGACTTCGTGGGTGATTTAGAAACTAATTCATTTTCTCCCACGACAATTCTAAGTAGTTAGGTAACTTATCCCTGGTAACAATAATTCAGAACCTCAAAACTTGACTACTGTCATAACTTCTGAATTTGGATATTTGAAATTTCCATAACACATAATATAATAAACAATAATCTTTATGTAAGGATGGGGTGCCAATTAATAATTGAGTTGGTATAAATTGGGAGTTGAGAATAAATTTGGGATAGGAATGCTAAGCACTCTAGAGTACTAAGTAATGTACAGAAGGGACAATTTATTAAATGGTACCCCCGTGGCCAGTGAGAAAAGATGAATGACTGGAGAAGTCAAAAGAGAGTGTAAATCATTGTTCAACAACAATCTCCAGGCAATCAGGTTTTTCCATTGCTTTAGGCTACAGAAATGAGCACAATATTTTTTTCACCTTAATCTAAATAAAGTCGGCTGGGATACAATAGCAGAAGTGGTTTTGTATTGCTAATTTCTTTAAGAGTCAGGCACAGTGGCTCATGCCTGTAATCCCAGCACTTTGGGAGGCTGAGACAGGATGGCTTGAACCCAGGAGTTCAAGACCAGCCTGGACAACATAGTGGGATCTTGTCTTTACAAAAAGAAAAAAAAAAAAATTAGCAGGGTGTGGTGGCATGTGCTGTAGTCCCAGTTACTTTGGGGGCTGAGGCAAAGAGTAACATGAGCCCAGGTAGTTGAGGCTGCAGTGAGCCGTGATCATGCCACTGCACTCCAGCCTGAGGGACAGAGTAAGACCCTGACTCAAAAAAAAAAAAAAAAGAGTGAGCACATGCAGTGCCTAACCGCTTATTTTTCTACTTATATACTGATTAAGTAATGCTTTTCAGGCAGGCGTGGTGGCTCAAGCCTGTAATGCCAGCACTTTAGGAGGCCGAGGAGAGAGGATAGCCTGAAATCAGGGGTTTGAGACCAGCTTGGGCAACTTGGTGAGATCTCTTCTCTACAATAAATCAAAATATTACCAGAGGAACTCAAATCATTCTA